TTTTGCTTAGTTTCAGAGTGTGGGTGTCTGTGGGTGTGTGTGGGTGTGTGTGACGTGTCCTGTCCCAAACAGGGATGCATGAGAAAGTTTGACTCTCGAGTGCTGCGGGCAGGCTTAAAGTGCCCGATGATTTAAAGGCCTCAGACAAAAAGAAAACTGGGGAGTGTTTCCTTCTCCTTATTGAAATTCCTCGATTGATATCCGCGAATTTCTTTGTCACTTTTAACTGACTGCGTGTTTAGCTAATTCCGCCAATTGGCCAAATAATTTGCACATTGTTCGGAGGCCTCACACACGTAAAGTGGCAGTAATCCAATAAGCGGCAGCAACAATTTTCGCGCATGCATTTGCCATTTAATTCCATTTACGCCTCATTTGCTGGCTGTCAACGGGAGTTGTTTCGTGAATGTAATATATGTACTTGAAAAAAACCAAGAACAAATACTCGAAATGGAAAACAAAATTTAATTTTTACAATTTATTTTTTATTTTATTTTCCGTTTTTTTAAAAAACTCCATTTAAATTTATTTAAATTTATTTTTTGGATAACTTGATAATGAACATTGTTAGGTGTTCATTTTAAATTGAATTTTTTGTTTATGGCTAATTTTTCGCTCAGTGTAAATATATAGGGAATGGCCTGCCAGGCATCAATTCATAATAATCGAACCTGTTTTTTCCGCTCTCGATTGATTCGATTTGCAATTTCGGAGGTAGAGAAGTTGTCACGAGGGTGGCGAAATGTTAAGTGGGTGGATTGCCGGATGGCTAATGAAATTTCTAATCATTTCGTTAGCTTATGCTAATGAGCATGTGTTGTCCTCGATTCCAGGTTTAAGTAGCCATACCTCGACTCACGATGACAGTGCATCTTTGAGGTTTTAAAGGCGCCCGTCTGGCTTTTGAATCCGATTCAAAAAACACCTTGAGCGTTGGCGCCACTGGATCGCTTTTAATAAACTTGTCGCACAGTTAACTTTATTAAGATTAATGAGCATGTGCACTGGATCACGCCGATGGGGGGCATTGGAAAGTGTTCTGGAGTCTGGTCGACAAACGCCACAATAATAAAAACACATTTCACTAGCTTTAATGACGTCATTACGTGGCATTTACTTGCACCACCACCAAGCATCAACCATCAACCCCACTAAAATCCACCCACTATGTCTGCCCTTGTCTGATGCTACTGCAATGGCAAAGTCAAGACGTTAATGTGTCCAATAATTTAATTTTAAGTACCTTGCAAAAAGAAATACGGCCACATTTTTACAGACAATTTCCTTTAATGGCCAGACAAACTGCAAGCAAGTCGAACCTGTGGCAGGTCCTGTTTTGGCTCCTTGGCTCCTTGATTGTGCTGTCGAAGTGGAAGGACATCCCGGTCCGGAGGTAATTGCATGGAAAAAGTCAGAGCCGAAGTTGGCCTGCAGTCGAGCGACTGCCCTTTGTGTAATTGAAAATTTAATATTTATTTCGCAGTTAGTAAATCAAAGTTTCAACGCAGTGGATAACACACTGCCATTACATATTCATCATACGCCCCGTGGGCCACGCCGACAACTCATAAAAAAGCGAAAAAAATGAGAAAATAGTCATTCACATGTGGAGAGTGGCGATAAATCAAGTCAACCTTTGCATGAGTTTCGCTTTCTTTCTCCGCATTTCTCCATAGAACTCTCATGAGTCAGCGGAAAGTAATAAAGTTGAATCTGAAACACGGGGTATGGGTTCCAAAGGGCCATTATCCTCCAATGTAACATGCTCATACATGGATTAGTGTTCAATAAAGCCCGAGGTCCTGTGCTGCTATTTAAATATTATTTTTTAATAACCAACTGTTGCTGCTGCATACACTCTATTTTATTCCCAGTTTTAAGGTGTAAACAAGCTGGCAAAGGAGCAGACGAGTGGCAAATAAATAAAAAACATCAAGCAGGGTGGAATAATTCACCGAGCATTTTAGCTGCAAAATCATAAATAACAACATGTAAATAGCTTTTATCTAACAGCTCTCGTCACAGCGGAAGCGGCCAAAAAACCTCACGGAAAAGCGCTCGAAAAAGTGGCATAAAAGCCAAAAAAAAAAGAGGGCAGAGCCCAGGGGGCAGAAAGAGTTCGAGTTCGAGTCCGACACTTCAACTTGCTGCTGCTGCCGCTGCAGCTCGCATCAATTAAACCTAAATTGTTGCAGTTGTTAACACGCAACAAAATTGTCTGCTGCACTGCAGCTAAAAAACTCGGACAAAAAACGATGAAAACCAGCAACAAAAAAGGAAAAGTGTCAACAAAAAAAATCGAATCGAGTGAATTGCATGTAATGGGGATTATTAACTTAAAGATACCCTAGATGTAAGGATGTGAATATATAATTGATATCATTATCTATGAAATTATTAATGATAAGATAGGATTTTCATCAACTTTACTTTGTAATTGCATTTTCAATAGAATACTAATACCGAATGTATATCGTTATATTTGGTGTACATTTTTTAAAATCTGTAATGGAAAATAAAAAATTGTCTTCAAATATAGTCCTATATCTACCATTTGCCTTAACTGCAGGGTGCACTATAAAAAGGCTTCTGAAATTGGTAAAACGTCAAGTGTAAAATGGCATAGAACTGCATAAAGCCGCAACTGGAAAAGTGGAAAAAGTGGGAAAAGGGGAAAAACGAAAAAGCGGAATGGGACCCGTTGTTTGAGTGTACTTCTGCAATGGGATTTATTCTATGCTGTCTCTTTTTTCGCTGCAGGAGTGACCGAGTCCAGAGCAATTACGCCGCTTGAAATATTGACAATTACTTAAATTTATCTTTTCTAAACGCGCCGGATGCACCTTTTGCATGGCAGGGGAAAATGTCGGGGAAAACGTTTGTCAATCAAGCGGCAGACAGGAGGCTTCACGCGTGATATATTTGAAGTGGCCAGCACCACCAGGCTGCAGCACTCCAATGCAGCCCAGCCAAGCACCACCTAAGGCCCCATCCACCACCTGATGCACTCGACTGTGTAATTTTTGCATATTCCCAGCGCCAAAATTCATGGCGTGGGGCATTCCACGTGGCTGCTCTCACCTGCGGATCGCCACGAATGAATGAACGAGCAAATGGATGAATGAATGCCTGAATGCAGTATGTGTATACAGAGGTAAATAAAATTTAAAGTATGGAACATGTATTTTATGAAAAAATATTCATATAGTGAAAAGTTTTTTTTTTCAGAAAATAATTTCAAATGCCCTTTTTATTTCATAACATTATCGCAATTCTAACTTTTTTTATATTGAACTAACGAAGAGTAAGACTTTAGAATTTCTTTCAGTGCATTCTGGTTGTTCTCGGTGGTTGGGCGCCATTTCATTGCGGTGGCAACGGCGGCTGTGAAATGGCCTGGAAATGATTTAATGCGGAAAGTGCGGTCGGGCCAGAATTTAAAATTTATTCCCGCCCGCCAGGTGAGAGCGGCCAAAAAGGACCGGCCACTGAAAGGCGGAAAAGTGCAGAAATAAATCACGCATCTGCAGGAATTGAAACTATTTGAAATCCAAAGTGCGTTATTTCTGGACATGGCAACTAATTAACTTTAAAGTCGGTTCAGCTGAATTTCGCCTGACTATTTTTGGCTTTTTGCTGGCTTTTTGTTGTGTAATTAATCACTGTCTGCCCCGAGTGCAGCGTGCTAACAAATTAACACCAGAGGGGAAAGGGAGGGGAGGCCAGCAGGATGCAACAAGACACGGCAACATTGTAGTTGCTGCAAGCGGGTCTAGACTTCAAAACTCATTTGGCCAGGAAAATTGCAAATTGTAAATTGCAAACTTTTTCGCTTTTTTGGCATTTTTTGGCATTTTGAAAATGCATTTTTCATTTCATTTTCATTCGAGCCACGTGTGAGTTACAAAAAGTCATTTGACCGACCAGCTCATTAGGGGAATCGCACTGAAACGTACCGGTTTTGACAGTCTATCTCCAAAAACACCCAGTGAAATCCTATGGGAGCAGGCAGATAGCCAAAAGTTTCTCTGCTTTCCTCAGCAGCTGCCGTTTTCGGGGACTACCTAAAATAGACATCAGGTTTCTTTGCCGCTGGAATAGATACAACAAAGAAAATATGACTATAAAATGCAATGCGAAAAATTATTATGTTTCGGAAAGACAAATACATTTTTGTACAACTTACTCACTTTTTTCGGCTTCAGCTAAAAATTTACGATTCTTAATAATATATACTTGCAGTCTCCGCCTGTCTAGCCTCCGATCTTCACTAATCTGAAAACAATGTGCTGCGCTGATAGGTTCAAGGCCAATGTCGTTTTAAAGATTAGCTATTTATAACAGTCTTATCGGGGTACACAACATAATTTGGAATTTTTTTTCACTATGTAATATAGCTGAGTTCGATCATATTTATATTTAAATAAAAATATAAATAATTGTATAACAAACCATGACTTTTCGTGCAACTGCCGTTGTTCGGTTTATAAAGCTATATTTATAAAGCTATAAATACAGAATTAGTTTGACTTACAGAAAATTAGATTTAGGCTAGTTGCCCAGTTGTTCAATTCAATGATTTCGTTTTTTGGAAAGAAACTAAATAAATCATTATTTCACAGCTCTCCTGATAAGGTGTTTTTTGTGGTATACATCATCAAGCAAAACATGACTACCGCTTATCAACAAAATTTATTTTTAATAACACAACATTTTCGTTGGTTTATTTTTGGCGAACATTTTAAATACGCTCTTACTAAACTGGAAATTTTTAAAGATTTATATTTTATATGGAGATTCCAAGTTTTGAACATAAAAAACATAAACCATTGACCTTGTGGGTGTTGATATTCCCAAAAAGCTCGTTAAGATTATACTTTTCGTTTTATAAGACATAAAATATTTGTTTTCATAAGAAGACGAAAGACAGCAGTATGCAGCATATAGGGCATTATCTATTTAAGCAGTGTATAAGCTTTAACTTTCAGTACAGAACAGATCGAATTCCATGGTGGTCGTGCTTAGAGCAAAAATGAATGTGTTTGTTGCAGTGTTTCTGTGCGTTTTGATTGTCCGCGAAGCTCGTTTACAGTGTAAGTGCCAAGCGATTTTTAAGCCACACTGCAAACAAAAAAAAAAGCGAGAAAAAAATGTTTTTTTAATTTGATATACGTAATGTTTATTAAATTGTTAAAATATAACGTTGAATATTTAAATAAAATAGTTTATATTTCGACTTAATAATAAATGATTTCTAAGTGTAAATCTAAAATGTAAAATTGTCGAAGTACAGCGCTTCTTTGCAAATTGATTTGATTTCAATGAGTTCTAAATTTGTATATTTATTGTGTACGGTAAGGCTAAGATACGTTTTAAGAACTATATATTTTGTTAAATTCAATGTTAGGAGTCCAGGATTTTTAAGGACATGGTAGAAAAACAAATATTTAAGGCTCAAACTGCCTAACACATCACCGACATTTCATAACTTTTTTAACATTATATTTTAATCTCTCTTACAGATTCAGGATGCCGCAATCCCAACCAGCGTACTGGATTTTGTGTGGATATAGCCCTGTGTACGCCACTGAATTCCGGGCGGATGGGGACCCGTTCGCAGTGGCAATTCATTAAAGACTCCCGTTGTTATAGCCCGGACAATAGGCCCTACGTTTGCTGTACTGATGATATCGACTTTAATAGAAGACCTGTTGCTCGTCCAAATGGCGGAGTATATAATTCGCAGCCACAGCAAGATGGAGGAGTATCTATTTCGCTACCACAGCAAGATGGAGGAGTATCTGTTTCGCTACCACAGCAAGATACTTGTGGAGGTGATATCGTGAACCTCCACATTTTCGGGGGCAGGCAAACAGTTTTAGGTAAATTTCCCTGGATGGTTTTGCTGGAGTACCTTTACCCAGACGGAGAGGATCTGAAACCCAAGTGCGCGGGATCACTGATCAATAATCGCTACGTTTTAACAGCAGCTCACTGCTTGAAGCCAGTCACCGGTACACTGTAAGATATTGCTTTATAACTAAATTTTTGTTTATTGCTATCAATTGCATTGTTTCAGAGTCTCTGTGAGGTTGGGCGAGCATGACACTCGTACAGGCCAGGATTGCCAAGGAAGAATATGCGCACCAGGCGTTATAACAGTGCCCATTGAAGAGAAATTTTCTCACGAATCCTATTATGCCGGATCCAACAATTTTTTGCACGATATTGCCATAATCCGCTTGGCTCATGAGGTTGCCTATTCGCCCACAATTCGGCCAATATGCCTGCCCTCCACTGTAGGCGGTGTGACATTGCGACCGGGTCAGCAGCTGACCGTGGCAGGATGGGGTCGCACTGAGAATGGCTTCACAAGTCCCATTAAACTTGAGGCCCAGGTCGACTATTGGGCTTACGATAGGTGTCGTAGGAGATTCTTATCTGAGTACATCGCCTTGGCACCCAGTCAAATTTGCGCCGGAGGTCAAGGTTGGGACAGCTGCGACGGGGATTCGGGTGGACCACTGATGGCATACCGTCAAGGTACTTGGATCCTGCAGGGAATTGTTTCCTTTGGTAAAACTTATTGCGGACAATTAGGTTGGCCATCGGTTTACACGAACGTTACTGTATATGATGACTGGATCAAGGGAAAAATGAGGCCTTAAAAGGGTTAAATTTACTCGTGGGACTAAACTATATAGTAAATGATTATGAATTAAAATAAAATATTATAAAAGGTTGTTATATTTGTTAAACTGGGCTTAATCTACGCTGAGATTGAAGGTCGTGGCAGATTTCAAATTCTCCGGCTATATATCAATGTTTCTTTCCGCACACTTTTGGTGTGGTGCTGGCCATTGTCCATTGAAGAGCTAAACCACAGGTTAAATTTTCCCCTCTACCAGCTTTCCGCCCTAATCGTAATCCCAGGACCATGAGCCGCATCATCGTTTTCATTGTGTGGGCATTTTTATGAGCGTTTTCAATGGCTCAATGCGAAAAAAGCACAATAAAATCAATGAGGTGTGTCTGCGTCTGACTGCTGCACCTCAGTTCCGTCTCTGGTACCACATCCACAGCCACATCCGAATCCACGTCCAGGGGCTGGGCAAACAATCGGGTATCTGATGGATACACAGACACAACAGCTAAACAATCAAGCACAGGTTCAGGAGCTGAAAAGGGGATCTGGAGTTGGAGTTGGGGCTTGGAGCTTGGAGCTTGGAGATGGAGCCACCTACAGTGCAATCAACGACGGGGGCTGAGCCACGATGAACCACCCAATCCATAAAGGACAGCCTCCAATGATACCCTCTATTGAAGGAGGGGATTTGGTTTTTACAACGCAGAAACTATTTTATATACCAGACATTTATATTCTATAAATAAGAATACTGCACTAAGTGTCACAATAAATAAATTTATTTATTTATTTTCTTATTTTTTTTAAACTAAAACCATAGGCTGTAAAATCAACAACTTTATTAAAAAGTTCAATAACATTAAATATGGTAAAGTATATAAGTTTCCTTATATTAATATTTTTCCTATTCAACAAATTTATTTATTTGATCCAGGGCATCAAAGGCACCACCTTTCTATGAAGCTCTCTCACAGTTGTTACCTATTCATAGGTTATTATTATTATCCTTGCACACTCAGCCACACACACTTATGCCAACACACACCCACACAGACGCGGTCTAAGCTTGCGTAACACGTTATCCTCCTGCCCGCTTTGTTGAGCACTTTGCGAGCCGAACAAAGAATGTGCTTTATTGGCACTTTTTGCACAATTGCCGTGCCGACCCCTCTACTTTTATTTCCCTTTCCCCAGAAGCAGTAAATGAGCGTGGAAAAATCGGGAAAGGGAAAAGGATATAGGGGAGCCGCTCGATAGGCCAACAAGGTAGTCACACGAAGAGTTTCTACACAGAAAACTAAATATCACTAAAGTGGTGCCAATCTCTGAAAAATTGTATACAAATTCAATAACACTTATATTTTATATTTCCCTAACTAAGAACAAATTTATACTTTCTGCTATTTATTGTAACAAACTTTATGATTGACTCATAGGTTGGTAAAAATTAATAACTTCATAATTACTTGTTTAAATGTTTTCAATAATTAAATTAAGCTTTAAGCATTGCAAATACTATAACAATTTTTACAATATGACACTTATTTTATAATAATTTTTGTTCTGTGCACCTACAACTTCGCATCATCATTGTTTCCTTTGTTGGCAACAGCCGGTTTTGATGTGTGCCACGCCCCCGCTCAAACTTCTCCCACCGTCCACATTCTCAGGACCTAAAGGGGGAGGGGGTGGAGTACAATAAGGAGAACGGAGTATAGCGAAGCTGAGCAAAGGATAAACACATTCATGGTGTGCAATCGATTGGCATAATGCGAAGCATTTTATTAAGGTTATCAATCGACTATGAATATAGGTATATCCATGAGGTGGCAGAGGTGTCAGTGGTGTGTGTGTGTGTGGATGGTGTTTGTATTTGTGTGGAGCAAACAGCGACAGGATCTGCAGTGTCGACGACAAAAGGACGACCTTATCGCAAGTGACGCATAAAACGTTCCACGTATGCCGCCATGAATTATGCGGAAATTATTAGAGAGCATTTAAGCGGAATTATTAATGAGAGGGGATGGAAGGTACTTCTCCTCAGGGTAAAATATCATGTGCGTGACTTCTTACAGGGATATTGCTGTGATGGTATTATGTTCCTTCGGTGACTCACCCACCCACTTAGTTAGGTTTCTGATATTGTAAATTTAATGAAGCAGTTTACCTCATTACATTAAACTGAAGCATATGGAGGGCCTGATTTTGAACCACCCGATTCCCTCTTTTTGCCGTGGTCAATTCCTGGTGCTTATGTAGTTTACAATGCCGAAAATCGACCAGAAATGTTTGCTGTCCTTTTACACGGTAGATTTCAAAGTCGATGGGAGTATTAAATCATTAGAAATTAAACGATTTAGATAAATTTAAGATTATTTAATGTTTTTCCCAAGTAACGTTGTTTTGGTACCGTTTGAATGGGGTTTCTATTATTTAACTTATGCAATCTTAAATTCTAGACAATAGGTAGGTAATATCATAAACTAAAAACTCTGTTAACAAAGTGATTTTCAATTACAATTAAAGATAGTATAATTAATTCAATATAACGGGAATAAAACTTGTATTATCATGCAACTAGGATATACGATATTCGTTATTTAACCAAAAAACCACTCCCATTTGTTTTACCTTTGAGCGGCGAAAATCGAAAAACAAATTGCAGTTGGCCAACGCAATGAACAGCATCATGCAGTCAAGGGGGCGTGGTCAGAGGTGGGGGCGGTGCAGTGAAAAATACAATCAAATGCATTCGACCGGAAAAGCTGCTAGGAAAAATAAATACACATATATACGGTATGTGTGTATGAAAGCTTGGCAGCACACAATTGGATTAAAATTTACACGCTCCGACCAGGCGCAATTATCGCAGAAAATCGGTGGGAAAACGGGGTAACTTTGCGTGACTGCGTTAATGTGCTTAACAATAAAATGCAGCGCATTAATTGATAACGAAGAGCATTCGATTCGGGAACATGGACGGTTCAATCAATTAAAAAAGCTGGCAGGGTGGCCAACCTGAATTCGGTTAAGCATTTTGGCTAAGCAGGGGAACTTTAGAGCGGGGGACTTCCCCCAGACCATTTCATGAGTTCCATAAATTGCAGTCAGCCAGCGACACTTGCCGCGAATTAAAAACACTTTTGCATATCATTTTGGAACGCGGCCAAATCGTCGGCGAGACGCAAAAACCAGCGCAGAGAAATGCTCATTTAATTTGCCTTAATTTCGCTTTCGTTTTAGCCAAATGCACCAGCGTCATTATCAATCCCTCAGCCCTCAGTCTCATGGCAAACTCATTTCGCATTCGATCCATTAAAAAGCCATAAACTTGCGTTCCTTATATTGCAAAAACTCATGTGGAAAAGCAAAGGTCGCAGGTTCGCGGCAAACGGCAATTTATGACATCCATAAACCTGCTTTCTTTTGTGTATGCCCTTAGGTAAAAGAGATATTATTAAATTTATGCAAAGATTGTGGTATAAACAACAATTTCCTTTAAAGCCTGCTTGCAATTTTTGATTAGATTGTAAAAACAGCAGGAAGGCTTTCGTAAAATAAAGGTAAATTGATGTGGCATGGATATTTACGATAGGAACATGATGAAATTAGGAGGCGTCTGTTCTTGGGTAACAACATTTTTTGTCAAGATATTGCATTGCGTATATTCTGAGATAAATATACCATACATACTTCGATACAAAATCAATTCAATAAATTGTTTAAAATTCATAAATATTACCTACCTAAAGCTATTTAGCAATTTATTTCAAAAGCAATGATAACATGTTGGTAAAAAAATATTAAATTATAAGCTTTATGTATATAATAGACATTTTTCATTCATTAATGAATTATTTAAAAGAATGATAAGTGAAAATAAAATATTCAAACTATAATTTCTCAATGTGCCATTTTTTTAAGCCCATCTCGGAGCCCCAAAGTATGCAACGGATTATGTGGAACCGCCGCTTAGCGGTTGATTTGGGCAATTGAAAAGTGGCAGGGTGGCGATACGAAAACGGCTAATAGAGCACACTGCCAATTGATAATAATAAATTATAATCATGGCGACATAATGCGAACAAATCTAGCCACGAGCGAGAGTCGTAAAAACTGCTTAAACCGATCAAATTGGCCTCCGATGGCGATTTGTGCCAGCGCCTGGAATTTTATTTATTTATTCGCATGCAAACAAATTGATTCGCCCGCCGAAACTAAATCAAAGCCCAAGCAAACATAAAAGTCAGCACCCATTTTCCGGCCAAGATTCCGAAGGGAAATCCCACTTGCTGCACGCGATAAGTTGCAAAAAAAAAAAAAGAAAAAAAACGGAGTTTGTACATCGTAAACAACAACAAACAGGCAACCCTTCTGCGATTTTCCACAGGGCGGGCAAAAATTGCACGTAGTATTTCAGCATCAGGAAAGCGAGAGAAAAGCGAGAACTGTGCGCTCAGAACGGCTTATCCGGGGCAATGAAAATTTATACAAATTCGAAAAAAGTGACAACATTTTGCTTTTATTGGCCATTAAAACGACTTAGCGACTTGGCGGACTCCTCTGCTCCAGCTCCCTTTTCGCATCGCAAGGAGATCGCGTGTGATTTGTACCTTGTTCCGCCCTCACTCCTTTCTTTGCCCTTTTCCATCTCCATTATCCTTTCTCACTTTGCATATGGGAATCCTGAATGGGAGGCTGGAGGGTGGTATATGATGACCAGACATAAGCGCAGTTTACGATGCCAGAAATTGAAGAAATGGCTCTGTGAAATTGAAAACATCGCATGTGTTCGATTCTGATAAAGTTCAAAAATCCATTCCATTTTAAGTATAATCAATTGCGATTTAATGATTATTTGGTAAGAAAGATGAAATACATATTAACACAAATAATGAAATGTTAAAATTAAATACATTTTCAAAGAAGTGATTAAGTAATGTTAAATGCGTATTAATCCTAGTATTTAATTGGTTATTGTTGGTATTAACATTTTTAAAATAAGTACTGATTTCTTTTTCTTTTTTTTTAAAGTTATACATATTGTTTTAAATTTGGTGTCTTTAAACTTTTTCCACTTTCTTTCGAGCCTCCCCT